TATAGACTCAAGGCGGCGCCAAAATAAATTGAAATATCTTGTCCATTAGCATAGATTTGATATTAATAAACATACATGGGAGTTAATTAAGAATCTTATAAATGCAAAAAAGGCATTGGATGCTTTTTATCAATGACATCTATTAAAATTAAGATGAAGAATAGTAAGTCTTTGCTATAAAAGAAATAAGATCTAGGAAAGATTGCATTCTACCTTTTATTTTTGTTTGTGGTTTTTGTATATTTATAATATAAAAAAATAGAGAATCAATAACTAGAAAATTCGACTCAAGAACCTTTATTTATTGACTTGCCAAACGAGATATTATAATTGTTACAACCATCAAGATGATGCAATTGAGATAAAAATCCTCAAGAACAACATGTTCTTTCTTGAGTAGATGACAAGATACAATGCATTTGGTATCACGACCTTAGAAGAGACTCTTGATGTTTAGTGATTTTAGTAGAAGTAAGAACAATACTTGAGAATATTCTAAATGTTTTATTTAAAGGAAGTTATGAAGGCTTAAATAACAATTAAATAATTGGATGGTCTTTCCGTCTTGGTATAAGACTCTATCAATGGTTGACAGGCCCTATCAGTCATCTTCAAAGAGAACAAAGATCAAAGTATGTAGTGAATACAATTTGCCGCATCTTGGATTTCTTCAACATATGATGATCGCTCCTCGTAGAACTTGTCCCTTGAAGAAGAGATAATCTCACAAACATACACATATAAACCAATAATTACCTATATGATTAAATAAAAATAAATAAAAATAGATTAATTCTATAATATCTTCTATAGAAGCTTCTTAGAAGCTTCATAAATATTGCTTTGACTTTATAGGTATCTTTAATTGGTATTTTAGATTAAAAACGTAGTCAACAAGTTGGCTATGTGCTACACATGTTGGTAGCTTGAAGAACAAGCTAATTATGTAGCCCACACATAAAAAACTTGCCAAGTGAGCTAAGTAATGTATCCTGTAAAGTTAATACATATTAGAGGTCCTATAGAATATCACTAAGTAGCTGTTAGCTAGTTAATATATATAGAGGCAAGAGTGAAGCCCTCTTCATTCTTATCAATTTTTTTCTTGCTTTTAGTCTAGATTAAAGAGTCTTTAGTTTCTTTGTCTTTTGAAAATAACTATTTTAGTTTCTTTTTAATATATATATCACTTTATTGCTATTATGTCTCTTTTTTTTAATACAGACTTTTTAAGTTTATAAATCTTCTTCCAATTCATGTTGTTTGTAGCTTATCACCATATTGATACAGTTTAAATTTGAGAAAAATGATGTTTTTTGGTTATAATTTTTTTATTTATTTTTTATAAAGTTTGCCATTGTATATTTTAAATTATATAAAGTATCACATAGAAACCATATATTAAAAATAATAATCATAAAATCATTTTGATGTTTCAACTTTTACAAATTTTTTATATAGAATATATTATTTTTTTAGGAAAAATATCATATATAACCTCAAAATATATTAAAATATTAAGAATATCCATGTAATTTTTATAATAAAAAATATATCTTTTATTTTTGTGATAATTATAATTCTACCCTTGAACTTGATAAGGTATAATTCTATTACTATTTTATGTGAATTTGGAGCCAAAACCATGTATTGTGCACATTTTGGTTCTATAGTTTTTTTGTACAAGTTAGATCCCTCACGAAGTGGATGTTGGTACTACCGCTAATTTCCATATTGCCTTGGTGATAGTATATTCTTTTTGTTAGCTATCCTTCATCCAGTTGGTCGTATCAATGATCTTGTTCTAAGAAGGTGCACTAACGTATTTGTATTGAGAAGGAAAAATTTTGATCTCCTTATGGCTACTAATAGCAACAATGACGTGACTTCTAATCTCTTTGATCTAAGATTGAAGAATGCAAACAGCTCTTCAATTAAATACCATTACAAAACATGTATCTAAAATTAAAATCCATTAATAATTAATAAAATCACACACACAAAGTTATAAGTTGGAACTAGACAAGCACATATTTAAGTGGCATTAAACGACATAAAAATGAAAGAAAAAAATCTTGTTACATACATGATATAAGAGTTACTTATAGGTCATTAAGATTTTAAAAAGTACAAAAAACACAAGGATTTGTAAATCCTTTAGAATATGCTTGAATATTTTTGTTGCTTCTTTTTAATTCTTTTACATTCTAATTTGGTGCTTTAGTTTTAATACCACAATACATGATGTCTAGGTTTAAATCCAGTCTTGAATTGCATAGTACTTCTATTTACTAACTAAAACCTCAAGCAAGTGAAACAACCATTGAAACAAATGATAGTTAAATGGCTTTATCTAAAATGAATGTCGATGCCACTGATAGAGGTAGGTATAGATAAATATGGAGATACAACAACAATATTAGAAGTAAGAGCACTAGTTTGCTATTTTTTAGAGGCTAGATTTGTGCAAAAAAAATGTTATGTGTGGTACACAATTTGGATACCAAATTCACCTAAAATAGAAATATGATTATACCTTATCAAGCTCAAGGGTATATTTGTAAGGGATATATCTGCTATTATCAAGAATACATGAATATTCTTGATATTTCAACATATTTTAGCAGTATATATGATATTTTTCCTATTTTTAATATGAATTTATGGTTGGATAACCAAATCAAATAAAATTTGAAAATTTTACACATCTCATTCATCATGTGTCTTAAATCATTTGCAACTCTTTGTAGAGATATTCACTTCTAAATACACTTAAATCTTAAATTTAATTTGATTGTTTTTATGTATTTCTTTATCATTTTTAAAGGAAAGTGAAAGATAATTTACAATAAATTGAATGAATATAGTAAAATGATTTCATAATAATTGTATTTGGAGTTATTTACATTTTTATTTTTAAATTGAATTCTCAGCTATATGATATTGCTTATAATCAGTCCAATACAATGTTTTAAGACAAATTCATCATTGCAGTTGTTTTAAAAATTATTTGCTACACATATTCTGATTCATGATCTTTAAGAAAATATAGCATCCCTAATAAATTCAATGTTAGTACCCACAAAAATATTTTCAACAGAAATCATAACATGCACATATTAAGATCAAACTTTTTGTGAACAATTGCTTTACATTGAATATCACTTCTTAATTTTACATTATGACTGATATTTCTATTCAAGTGATTGTCCAACAACAGTTTTCATTAATGTGTTTATGTCGTCCTTTTTATTTTCTTAAAATACAAGTATCATTGGAAAAAATTAAATTAATTAATTAATTAAAATAAATATATATATATATATATATATTATTTTTTTGAAGACAGGAATGCTCTATTGATTCCAACAGACATTGAGAATGATGCTTTTTCTTTTCTTTTTCTTTTTTCTAATAATGTTTTTATGTCAGAAATGACATTTTAATATCAGGCATAACAAAAGTTGAAATAGCTTACTATCACGAAAATGTAGGAGCTTAATTATTTGAAGAATCTAATGATGATTAAAAAGCATTTTTGTCAACTAGTACATGAGGAGTTAAATCAAACGTGTAATGCTTATCCTCCTCAAATTTAGTATTTACTTAAAATATTTTGCAAGAAATAGTGTTGATAAGATAATTGACTCCATCTACATAACAAGAAGTAGAATAATTTGTTAAAAATAGATTTTATTTTTTATGTCCTTTCATGCCAATTGAACATCATTAGAGCTTGTAAATAGTATCTTAGATGCTCTTTGGAGATGCTATCTAAGAAATAAGATATTGAAGAATAATGCATAGAAATAACTATTTATTGTTTATCAATTCTTTGAATTTTCTTTTTTTAGTAAGATCAACTTATTCTATTTGTATGCATGCAAGATTGAATTGCAATTAATCAAAATGTTTGATTTTTTTAGAGAAGAATAGATCATCTTCTTCATTAAAATTCCACATAAATTCACAAAAACCATTGTAAAAATTATACTTTTTAAGTTTTATTTTATTTATTTATTTATTTCTTGTTTTGTTTTGTTTTTTTGTTGTTGTATAAGCAGATTTTTTATTTTTTATTCCCTTATTTTTTTTTAATCAACAACAACACCATATAAAAGAGAAAAGAAAAGAAAAGAAAAACTCTAAAAACTATAAATATATATTCTATGATTAAATAAAAATAAAAACTTATACCTATGTCAATTATATACCAAGGACTTAAGACATCTCTTACCTTTAGATTTGTTTTTTTAAATCTAAAGTCAATTAGTTTATTCTTTGTGTATTAATAGATTATTGTTTGAATTCATGATTTCTAATTTTATAGCAATAAGCAAACACAAATGCCACGTCTGAGTTGCATGGTTTTTAAAACATACAAAACAATCATAAATCACTCTTCAATTACAACAAATTTTACAAACATATGAATAATTATATTAGAAAGGAGAAAATTTGAGATTGAAAAAAAAATCCTGTAAATTACATACTACAAAATATTTCAATTATAATAGCCCACAATACAAAAAAGCCATGTTTCAAATAAATTAATTAATTAAGTTTTTTTCAAGTCTTGTTAAATATTTTCTCACGTGTCTAAAAGCATGAAGAAATACAAGAGATTTTGAACATGGAAAATAAGAATTTGAAAAAAATAGTGAAGAAGTTGACAAGAGAAGTGCTATAATAATACACAATACAAACAATCTAAACAAAGAGCAATGGCTACAAGGTGTGGATGAGACTGACCGAGCCCACAGAACAGTCCTCTCTCTACACAAAAGACGCGACCCCATTGGCCCAGACTACAGGGTGCCACGCGAGACGCAATTCTTAAGAAATTCGCCCACGTGGACCTTCGACACGAGGTTCCGGGGACGCCATGTGTTCAACACCCAATGGCAGTCCACGTCTGCGTGGCCGGGCCAGGTCGACGTCTTATCCACCTGATTATGTCCCTGTTCCCACAGCAACCGGGATCGGGGCTCACTCTAAGTCCATGGAACGGTGTATGCCCTAATTTGAGGAATGCCCACCATCGCACTCCGTTGCGCTCTCTCTCTCTCTCGGGGTCTCCACCTCCTCGCAATCTTCGCCACCGATTCTTCTGTACAGGTCTTGCCATCTGCATCATTTCTTCTCCTCGCAGCTGGGTAGGTTTCAGACTATTGTAGTTTTTTTGGGTTTTGATTTTCATCGTGGTTGTGGGTTTTTTTGGTGATGTGCCTTTGGTGATGTGCGTTTGCGTGTGTGTGTGTGTGTGTGTTTTGTTTTGTTTTTTCTTTTGGTGTTGGATTTGAGATGGTTTCGAGGTTGCGTATTGGGGTGTTTGGGTTTGGAGATGGTGCGGCTGATATTTTCGCCGTCGTGTGGATTTCTTAAAAAAGCGTATATTCATTTTTTTTGAATTTTTGTTTTTTGTCTTTGTTAGTTTTAATTCATTTTTGGAGGAGGGTGTGAGGAAGGGTTGTGCATGGTACTTGAGCTGGGTTGAAATGAAGGATTTGGGGATCGGCAATTGGATTTTAGTTTGAAGCATTTGTTGGAATTCGGGGGGGGGGGGATTTAATTGAGCGAATTGAATGATTTTTGAATTTCTGTGGAGCTGAATTCGAGCTCTTGATTCGGAGTTTTCTTGCTATTACCATTAAAATCCTTCGGTTTCTGAGGATTGGATTTAACGCATCCTCACTTGCTTAGTGATACGTGGGTCTTTTTAGGAGTTAGTGTTTTCCTTGTCTTCAGTTTTACTCCATCAAGGGAGTCGCGGGTAAGTTAGGGTTGGATGTCTTCATAAGAAATTTTGAAAATTGGATTAATTACGCATGAATTTTGATTCAGCAGTGTTGGACATGGGTGCAGACGCTGCATCATCCACGTTATGGCCTTAGCCTTGTCGCCGTTGGTTCTCTAATCTCCGGTCAAGGGCTTCAGATTACTCATTGGATGGACGGAATTTAATTTATGAGGTTTCATGGTGAAGTTTACTGCATAAAATGATATTTGGGAAATGAGGCAACCGAAGTATATCGAAAAGAATGCAGATTCCTCGGTGGTTGACATCACTTCAGCGGCAGTTTGAAGAGCGTGTGCAGCACCAACTGCGAGCAAGTCGTGATGGGGGTGTGACGGCTGCTGTGGCTGGTCTGCAATGGCCAGATTGGCATTGGAACTGGAGATGGCCATGGCAGGACAGGAGGGCGACAGCACCCCAGCGAGAGGCAGGAGAAGAATACAAGAAAAAAGTGGCAGCATTGTGCAGTGCACTGAAGGTAGACAATGTGACAGACCTGCAAGACCTGTTGGGGGCCATGGTTCTATCAGAGTGTGTATACAAGCGGCCGGACTCTGAGGTGATTAGGGCTGTAAATAAGTTTAAGGCAGATTTCGGTGGTCAGCTTGTAGGTGTAAATTACATTCAAGCTTCACTGGATCATGTTCCTCACAGGTACTTGCTTGCCGAAGCTGGGAACACTTTATTTGTCTCCTTCATTGGTACCAAGCAGTTGCAGGATGTGGTGGCTGACGTTAATTTTCTCCAACGAGCTGTATTTGAAGACGAGGATATTGAAGGTGACAATTCCGATGGCGACGATCAACAGAAGGTGGTTGACGGAGCAACAGTTTCTTCACTACACCCCTCCACCTTTGGAAATAATGTGCAGAAGGGTCTCGGGTTGAACAACGGTGAATTACCGCCTCGTCCAGCAAAGGCAGCGAAATTCAAGGCTGCTGCACATCGGGGTTTTCTCGCACGAGCAAAAGGAGTGCCAGCTACGGAATTGTACAAACTAGCCCAACGAAAGGACCGGAGGTTGGTCTTGTGTGGGCACTCACTCGGTGGAGCAGTAGCGGTGCTCGCCACTTTGGCAATACTTAGGGCGTTTGCAACGAATTCTATATCTCGGGCAACAAATAAAGTTCAGGTCAAGTGTATCACCTTTTCACAGCCTCCCGTTGGAAACCCTGCGCTCCGAGACCTTGTGCATAAGAAGGGATGGCAGCATCATTTTCGAACTTACTGCATCCCAGAAGATGTCATACCTCGTATTCTGTCACCTGCTTATTTTGATCATTTCCGCTCTCAAACAGTAGACCCTTCAGTTTTGGTACTGCCGAATGGAGGTGCCAAGGACGAGGCAGACAAGAGGCAGGCAGGACAAGCAGGGAAAGATCTCAAGAAAGATGGTGAACAGCCGGTTTTGGGTGCTGGTTCTGTTCCAAATCCTTACTGGAGGATTGCACGACTTGCACCTCTCGCAGGTGCACCCATGCAATGGCTTAAAGGAAAAATTAAGGAGGATGACAATAATCAACTTGGAACCCCGAATAATGGAGGGGAACTCGCTAATACCTCGGATTTAGCACCTTCTCTTAAGATACACGAAGACAGTGAAGGAGTCGCTTCGGTAGACGCTGAGGTGAAAGCAATTTCTAGCGATGGAAAGCCAGAGGTGAAAGCTGGTGGAGTGGCTGGTGGAGTGGCTGGTGAGTGGCTGGAGAGGGTGCCGTCCCTGCCGTCCTTACCATCATACGTTCCATTTGGTGAGCTGTATCTTCTAGAGAAGCTTGCTGTTCAACAACTTTCTGCCTCAGAATTTACCCAGTTGTCCTCAGTGCAGTCGGTTTTGTTGGAATTGAGAGAACGCTGTCATTCACATTCTATGAAATCATACCGAGCTCGTTTTCAACAGATCTATAATACGTGCATGTCAAAAGATGTTCCCATCAGTAATATTGAGAACTTTCCTCTCTTGCCGCACCTGCAACAATGGCTTAGTGGCCTAGGTGGGCAGGTGGCCGAAGTTGGAAGAATCTTTGAGCCCATTAACATTAGGCTGGCAACAGCTATGGTGCCTTTAGGCTGGAACGGTTCAATTGGGGAGAAGAAAGGAAGTCGTCCTTTGAAGGTGGATATTTTGGGCTATGGGTTACATTTATGTACCCTGGTCCGAGCCAAGGTGAATGGACGGTGGTGCTCTACGTCCATTGAAATCTCTCCACCCGTCCCTTCCTGGGGAGTAGGAAGAAAATCCAAGTTACAGAGGATGCGCATTCGTATTGGGGATCCCCTTCATCGTTCAGCATCTCAGCAAGAAAGAGCAGATCTCTTAACTTCAGAAGCAACTATGAATGAGGAGCATTATGAATCCAGTAACAGCTTGTATGATATGGGTGATGGGGGCAGAAGCAGCAGCTTTGAGGTTGACGGATTAGGTGAAGTAACCATATTTTGCAGCACAGATTTTATGACGACGTCGAAAGAAGTTGCAATGAGACTTCGGCGTGTTCGTTTGCTTGGTTTTGAAGGAGCAGGCAAAACCTCATTGTACTTTGCCCTATTGGGAGGAGAAGGCATGATGTTGGCCCATAATTTTGGAGGTATGCTACCTGATATGGATTGGCGGGAAGGGGTATTGGGAGGTGTGAGCTACATTGACGGCCCTGGAGTGAACCTTCAGGATTTACCTGGAGATGCTCAGCGACTTCATAAGGAGCTGGCTGTGAAAGTTGGTCCAAACTCTAAGAAACTAGATCTTGTGATTGTGGTTCATAATTTAGCTCATAAAATTCCTCAAATGCGAGCCTCATCTCGACCTGCTCTTGCACTGCTCATCGATGAGGTGGCGGCAGCGGGAGTTCCATACATTCTCACCATCACGAATAAGTTTGCGGTGAGTGCAGATAGACGACAACTAGCAACCATGGCGGTTATGGAAACCTACCAAATGCCCCCCAACCGAAGTGTGGTGGTAAATTCTTGTCCTCATGTGGTTCACGGAATAGTCGCGGATAGTATGTCTGAAAAAGAAGGTGCAGGGTGGCAACCACGTCTATTAGCAGGTTCTATGAACCTTGTACAAAGACCGTTCCGCAAAAAAGAAGTGGTGAAACCGTCCGAAGGCATTGAGAACTTGCAGGCTCTAGTCCACAGAGTTTTGCTGGAGCAAGAGGAAGCTGCTATGAAGGAGTTTTCAAAGCAAGTTTTGGCTTACGAGGAAGCCAAAGAAATTGATAAGCTAGAAGCCAATAATCTAAACCGTGACAAGTTTGCAGGTGCAACAACTGCTGCAGGTATTGGAGCAGGTTTTGGACTGGTTATAGCATTTATGGTGGGCGCTGCCAATACTTTACGCAAACCTTGAACCCACCAACAGGCAAGGCTCGCACTTCCTCGGCAGAACTGTTGGAATATGAGGTATCGGCTCCTCTTAGTGGCGTTTCTTTTACAAGCATGATCTGCTCTTATTATCCCTTTCAACGATTGTTTGGCAAGAAAATCGATGACTTTGAACAAAGAACCTGGAAGGACATCACATTCTTCAGTTAAGTTTTGTTGCTAATCAGCAACAACGGAGGCGTAAATCAGCCAATAGCATTTGTTAGAAGATTTTATTTGCAGCCTGTAAGTATTTCCTTCCTAGTTTAGGTCTTGTTTTAAGTTCTCTAATGCATGCCATGCGTTTCAAGCAGTCTTGAAATATTTGAGCGGAGTGGGTAGTCAGGTAGAAGGCCATCGTCTTTGGATATCTTAATCTGGTAATTCCAGATGATTCAATGCTCGCCATCTGATGCCAATATGCCAGGTGGGTTCAAACTTATGGCGGTGATTCTTTGGCAGCGATTGTACCCATTGATGTGGATTTTGGAGTTTTGAAGTCCCAAGCTTTGGCGAAAATTATTGCTGTCGTTGTATTTGAGTTTGCAAGCTTTCCTACTCTTCTGAAGACCTTTGCAAAGGATGCTTCAGGTGTCCCATAATCTCAGTGTGGGGATTGTTGTCTGGAGTGTTTTCACGTGATTAGGCATTCTAGATGGTGAGACAAGGATGGGTGTAGACAATGTATTTCAGCTTAACTGCAATTACTTATAAGATCCCTCCTTTTCATGGAGCAAAGCTCCTGTACAGACCTTCTATGAGAGTTGCACTAATAAATTACATCCAAGCATCACGGTTTGGAAGTGCAACTACCCAACAACGAGTTCAGCACGTTGCATTAGAAAGCATGCATGCTGAATCCTACAGTTTTATTCCAGAGATTGTCGTTCAAGCTTTTTGTGATCCCTGCTATGGCCAACTTCTTCACCCCTAGTATTCAAGCCGATGTGTCCCGTACCTCTCGCTCATTATAGACCAAAACCCGACCTTAGCAATCAGGAAATTATTCTGCAATCAGAAGCCATGCAAAATTACGGAATATTCAATTTGACTCATGCACGAATTAGATCTGCTCGACATCATCAAGCTCTTGTGAAACTCAACATCAACAGTCTCTCCCATATCTAAGAATTCAAAGCAAGATCACTAATTACTCTCAAAGTCTTCCATTCAACATTGCGCTACTGGAAAAATTGACAATGTTCACGATAATCTCTCATGGAGAAAAACTCACTCCATACAACCACATACCTGAAGGTCGCTCCCTGGCGGTCGACATAACCTTGAGCACTTGCGGTACAACATCGAGATTAAACTGACTCCGAGAATCAAAGGGATGAGAAGAGCCACAACAGGCATGACGAAGAAGACGACGAGCGCCACGATGAAGAAGACTGCGACTCCCGCTGCCACAAGCACCGCTCCTAGTGTTGAAACGAACTTAACTGTCACGAAAAGACCATTCTCGTCCACCATCGAGCGAAGCGTGCGCATGAATTGCGACCCAAGGGAAAGAGTCGACCGAAGAGCGTCAGCCATGGCCACCAGCTACAGAAAATCGCCGCTTCAGCGGAGATTGAACTCTCTCTCTCTCTCTCTCTCTGTGCAATCTTTAGCGTAATCCAAAACAAAATGAAGCCTGAGAGTCGTCTGTCGCGTCGACGCAAGGGAGTCGGAAATGGGAGTTTTGGAGAGCACGAGGCCGATGGGTGGAGGTGAAAGGAACACTGCCACCGACAGTGTTCGCACGGCAATGGAGTAGTAAGTATTCGGTGGCAGTCTCCTAGGGGACTGGCTATGGCCAAGGCGGCGTTGTTGTTGTTGGTGGTGTATGAGGGCATGGCGTAGCATTTAAGAGGTTGATTGACATGGCAGTTTTGAAACCAACATTCTGATTAAGTACTTGAAACTTGAATTGATTTAATGTACATTTTATTACATTTTGTCAAAACAAGATTCAATTTTATATCAAAGATATCATCTATAATCAATAGACATTCTCTGCATGGATAGCCTATTTTAGACTATTCTCCTTGGAGTTAGATTTTCTTTTTTTGAATTATCTATTGAAATTCCATGATTGGGTGTATGAAATTTATATTTTAGCACTTTTAAAATCTATCTCTTTCTTGTATTTATGCATGATTTTAGTTTTTTGTGGATAAGAATTGCATAAGATGCTCATATAAGTTAAAATTGGTGTATAAAAAACAATGCAAAAAAAAAAGAGAGAAGGGAGGATGATTTTTTTTTAAAAGTTTAATTTTAATGTTAGATTTAGTATTAATTAGATTGATTTAATACTTTTGGGTTTAATTTTTCTCTAGTATTATGTAATTCTTGTTTTTATCACTTTTTCTTTTGTATTCAATTATGTTCTCTTTTAACAAATTACATTAGCTTTGTTTCTTTCTTGTTCTTGTTTTCTATTGCATAATTACCTCATCAATTTAAAGTTGTATTTGCATGTTGTTGATTGCTTGGTTATCTTAAACAATCTATTTCATCATGTTTTATCATTCTTTCTCACATATGTATGAATTAAGATATTAATACAACATACTACACTAGTCTTAAATGACGTGTGAAGTATCATTAGTAATCAAATAATAACAATACTTAGATTAAAAAGTAGACAATTACTTACTCAATTTAATATCTTTTGAGTCTATTTTAATTTTAAAAATATTTTAGTTTCAACCCTTTTGACTACATAGTATAAAGAAAATACAGTAAATTAAGTACTAAATCTCTTTCAAATTAGAAGAAATATATAAACATTTATTATAAGAAGGTCAAGATAACATTATAAATTATATTAAAGTAGTATATTTTTATGGTAAATTTATCTAAATTAATAATTAAAAATCTACCACAATTCTTTAGTTATGTTAATACAATTTGAGATTAATATTCTAAGCCTAACTATCATCATTACCTATGATACATTTGAAATAGAATTAGATAGAGATAAATTGGAGAAATGATATGTATTTTAAAAATATCTAAAAAACTTCCTTGATGGATTTAGCACTATTAGTATGCTATGTGGCTACTTTAACTTCTTTTGGAAGTTTCTTATGCTCAAGTGGTCACTATAAACACATCTTGCAACTTAGAGACTTGACTTATAAATCTTGTGATCTTCAGAAAGGTTTTACATAACTTTCTTTCTGAATAATATAATAAAAAAATATAAGAACATATAAAGAAAACAATGGAGAAAATATATGAACTTTGTTTAAAACTTACCATCAATAAAACTAATAAATAATAAAATATGGCAAGAATAATTTTGTAAATTGTACTATTTTATGTGAATAGACTTATTTCAATTTTTTGGAGAATTAAAATTAAAACTATTTAAGATATGAGAATTATCCTTTAAAAAAAAATTTATAGAAAGATTTCTACGGTTTTTTTATTCATAAATTTTATACAAATTCAAATTATGCTTCAGCTTCAAAGTTATTTAGTTATATTATTTGAAATTGGATAATGACAACTTTTATATAGTTGACCATCAAATGTTAATTTTTTAAATTTATTTCTGGAATTTGTTTTTAGCATAAACAAATTCAATGCAGTGTTTGTAAAATTTCGTTGCTTATGTAAGTAACATGATATAATTTGTACAAAAACTAATAAGTTTTGGATCTTGCAACAAAAAAAATTATCTATTTATTTTCTATATGCTTCAAAATTTAGATAACTACAAATTGATATTAAATATTTGTAAAGTTAAAAAATGACAATTATAATCTATTTATGATTATTAAGAGTTTTTTTAAAAATTTTAAAGTGGAATATGTTTCTAAAACATATAATTAAACAAATTATATATAAACTATGTTTTCGTCTTAAATCACAAGTATTTACTAATATATATCAAATATAGTGGAGAATTATATGTGATTTATTATATTATGTTAGAAGGCTTAAAACTTATTTATATCTTTAAAAAGTGTATTAATATAATATAATATATAAAAGTATAAAACTATCTTTTATTTATAATTATATTTGTAGTTGTCATATATAATTATATGGGTTTTATTATCTAAAGATAAATCTCTCTAAATTTTTATTTTATTTTATATTTGGATAAACAATAACCTTATAGAATATTTTATATGTTTTATATATTTTATAATTTTATAAAATGGTTTTAAAATATATTATGTAAATTTATTCAACTTGATTTTGTAGTTATTTAATTTTAAAACATTTAAAACCTAAATATAAAAATTTTACTCTCTATATTATAAAAATATAAATTTATGTAGATGTATTTATTCTAAGTGATAGTGTTAAGTTTAATAAATAAAAAATTATCTTTTCATGCATAATATAAATTAAATTATTAAAAACCTAAAAATACTTTAATTAATTAATTAATTATTTTTATAATTTTAATATTAACATTAAATACTTAGTCATAAAATATTTTTAATAGGTTAATAATATCCTTATAATATTTTTCATAATAATTTTTTATTTCTAATTAAAATATAATTTTTAAAATAATGTGGTGATACTAAGAATATATTATTTAAATTTTATTTGATAATAATATTTTGTCCATTTGATTGATATAGAAATAAAATATCATAAACAGTATTGAATAGCCATTTAATAATATTTTAGCTAATATTTTATTTATAAGCATTAAATAAAGAAATCTCGATAACAAAAATCTTGAAAAGTAATTCCCAAAAATCAACATTAAAATGTCACAAATATCAATAAAAAATATTAATAATTTATTGGATGAGAAGAGTTAGATAGAAGTACATAAAATATGCTATTTTGAAAATATCTTGATAAAAAGCTTCTTAGAAGCTGCATAGATGCCAATTTGACCTTACAAGTGTTTGTAGGTGATTGATAGGTTAAATACCTAGCAACATGTTGCACATGTTGATCACTTGTGGTATAAATTGGCCACATAGCACACATGTTAGAAACTTACATTAGAAATTAGACACATGCCTAATAAGTTAGATATGTATCAAATGATATATAAAACATTGTCATATAACTTTTTAATTAGGTAGTATATATTGAGGGAAGAGTGAGGCCTTCTTTACTCTTGTCAATGCCTTTCTTTTTTGCTTCTAATCTAGTTTCAAGAATCTCTAATCTTTGTCAATAATCATTCCAATTTATTATATTATATTATATTTATTTATTATTATTATTTTTTAAATTTCTTTTTTGTCAACTTCTTTTAATAAACATCTTATTCTATTTATTCACGTTCTTCAAGTTATTGTCATCAACAATAAATAAATAAAAAAATAGTACTTAAATAAATAATTAACATCTTTAGTAAATAAAGATTTAAACCAATTATATACTTAGAATATATTTTTAAATATTTCGGTGTCTATGGATCAAAGGTGGAAGATTAAACAATTGTTTGTCTTAACAAATCTTTGGCTTATACATATCTAATTTATATCTTATTAATTATCAAATAAAATATCTTTGAATGCAACTTTAGATAGAACCAATGACATTTTAGCTCCCTTAATGTCTTTATTTGATATTTTCTAAAACTTATGTTCAATCTTCTTTCTATATGCCAAAGAAGATTTAATTTTTATATAAATGTTCTTGTTGGCTTCTAAAATTTTTATTAAAATATCATTCATTAATTCTTAATATCTAATATTTTTATTTTTTAAAATAAATATTATAAAATAGTAGGTGGTAAATTATTTTTTATTAATTAAAATTATCTTTTATCAATTAGCTAATTAAATATTAAATATATTTTAGCTTGCAATAATTTTGTAGCTTAAAATATCTATTTATTAATCTACTTAGAATAGCCATTAAAATTTTATCTTTATTTTGTTTATAACTAGTTAATTTTTATTTTTTAAAATTATTGTAGTGTATAATTATTGACTTGTTTGTTAAAACACCAAATTATGTCTTTAAAATATAATGTATGTATATACTAAATATTATTAAAAAGCATCTTGATTGACTATCATGAAGAATTATTGTTAATTATATATAGTTAAAATTACTATTCTAAAAAAATTAAAGTATTAAATTAAAATGAACCTATTTTGCACAGCATACATTCTATATTTTAAATTACTTAGCATTTTTTACCAACAATCATAGTATAATAGAATTTAATAAAGCACAAAGATGGTTTAAAATACAATCTTTAAGTAAGACCACAAATAATTATATATCATTATGTATATTCTTATTAGAGAGAGAGAGAGAGAGAAAAAAAAAAAAAAAAAAGAAACAGAAGAGAAGATAATGAAAGAAAGAAGGTAAGAGAGGGAAAAAAAAAAGACAAGAATATTGTTGCAATGATAAGTAGATTGTATTCCTAGAGTCCAATGGATATTGTGAAGCAACGACTAGTGGTTCATTTATAGTAAATGAACCACTTCCTTCTCCACTTTTTCTAAAAAGCAACATAGTTTTTAATAAATAGTAGCCAGTTTCTTCAAAATTTATTGCATGAAGGAATGAATTTAGGGTTACGAGGAAACCCTAATAATTAGACATTCTTGTTGGGCGATGAGTCCCAGAAGGATCGAGCACTGTCAAATGTGGATAAGATCAACAAGGGGATTAGCGATATATATATATATATATTTATGCCCGCCGAAACCGACTACTGGATGCTGCGTCCTACTCTTGGACGGCCGGAGACAACCGAGAAATCGCACAACGCAGACTGGCTCTGTTTTGCAAACATTCTTTGGAAGAGTAGGATGGTGGGTCCCGCAATTCGATCCTTCATTCTCGTGGGTTCTGCTGCGGCGTGGGAATTCTGCGCCTCAGAGGACTGATTACGGCTCCAATCAAGTTTTTAAGATCGAATTCTGGTTTTGAGTGTCCTCTGAATCCATTAAGATTTGATAATTTGCAAGGGTGTGGCGTTAGGTTGTGGTGGATATGTTTGGTGTGATTGGTATCTCTGGTGGATAGATCAGGGCAACAGCGTGTGCTGGAGCGGTTTTGTGGACCGATACGTGTGTGATTTCGTCAGGGTAAGTGTCGAAAATCCCTTTTCGGGTGTGGGTGTTGTTTGGCCAGGGCTGAAATTCGCGCTTGGCGTAACATGTTGCTGTTGTGAGATCGTTGGGATGTGGGCCTCCGTCGGTTCTCTGTTTACATATTTAAATTACTTTGCTTACTGGGGCAGTTCTTTGCCTGCGCGGTGTAGTTTCTTTACGACACGAATTGAATGCATTCATTTCTATATTGAACATTGTTTGTTTTCTTTTTCTTTTTCTTTTTCTCTGCTCTTCGTGTGGTCTTACACGACTATTAAGCTACTTAGATAGATGAGGGTACTGTATTGACGTGAAATTGACTTTTATTTTTTATTTTTAAAAATCATAGAGTTTTTAGAACATTTGGGGTCTTGTAGGTTTTCGTATTCAAACTTTAGCTCTCGTCTCTTGCTACTGTTATGAAATTTCGTCCAATGTGGGTCGCATATCACTTATTAGAACTGGAAGTTTCTCTTGGAGCGTTGTTTAGATCACACAGGGATATATTGGAGTCTTTCCATCAGCAGAACATGTAGAGAGCTCCTCATTTATGTGAATGCACCTAATAGTAAGGGATTCAGTAAGGAATATACAGATGAATTCTAGTGCATGCATAGAATGAGAAGCTACTCTGCATCGCATTTAATTGGAAACATCCATTTTCTGCATAATACTTTGAATGTTCAATTAGCTTAGTTTCACATGCATTGGTACGCCGAACTGAATTGAAGAGAGACCTTGGGATCTTACAGTGGAGTGGAATTAGTTTAAAACCAGAGTTTCATAAAAAGCGGAGAGGAAAACACTTAGGGTTCAATTGTTAAGACTTCAGGTGAAACACGTTGTCTTAGAAGAGAGTGGTTTGAGCAGATGGCTTGGAGGCTGGCTGTCGTAGGGATTACGTTTTTTCTATTGGCAAAACAGCTAGCTCTAAATTTCAAGAAGAAGAGGGCAGAATCTGATGAAGATGAAGATGTAGTCGACTATAATTTTTTGACTGTGGCTGCCAAGGAGGCTGACATGGCGATGCGTAAGGAGGAGGGAGGTCCTTTTGGTGCAGTAATTGTTCGTGACGGGGAAATTGTTGCCCAAGCCCACAATGAAGTTTTGAAACAGAAGGATCCCACTGCACATGCAGAAATTGTTGCCATCCAAAAGGTTGATGTTTGTTTCAATGTGCTTGGATGGTTTTATGTTTCATTCTTTGTTACATTGGTTAAGGCACTATCAGATAAACAAAATATAGTCTTCTTAGATGCGCTTTTCAATTTTTGTGTAATGAACGTATAGACAGGTTGGAAATAACGAGACAGCTACTCTTGTTTTTTTCTTCTCCTTGGAAACGATAAAAACCGTTGGTAGACTCCATTGGCAACTGTTTTTTCATTCCAATTGGTCCTCTCCATGTTTACAGGCAGGCTATTAACAGACGTATATGGTTTTGTGACATCCGCAGGCTTGTAAAAAGCTTGGAAAGATTGAGCTGTCGGATTGCGTAATATATTCATCTTGTGAGCCTTGTCCCATGTCCTTCGCCGCCATGTACTTGGCCAGGTTGCCGGTATGTGATTCATCATTTTGGATTCATCTTGCTGTTGTCCTCATGGAATTCCTTACTATAGATATTCTCTGACTGTTCACTGGAATAATTGCATTTTTTACTCATGGATACTTAGGTCTTCATAAAAAGATATGAGAGGGAAGCCTACTTCTATGAATGAATTGTGTTTCGCTTGCGTTTTTATGATTTCTTGTTGCCTCCCCTCTAACTAGGTGTGTGTTTGGGTGTTAATAGAGGTTGGTGTACGGCGCACAAGCTGAAGCTGCCCATGACCTTGGATTTGACAGTTCTCACATTGCAGATGCCATTCGAGGAACCTCACAATTCCAGAAAACAAACTGCACTGTGAAGAGAATCGTGCACCCTGAGGTTTGCAAGGTGTTCTGGAAAAACAGAACCAAAGTCCGGATCTATTGAGCCCTTCCTTCCAGGTCTTATTGTTTCAGGTATAGACGTTTGTTTCTAGTATCAGATCGTATTTGTGGAGATTTCTCTCTTGTACGCAATTGATCAACTCCGTCGTCAGATCCTAGACTTTCCAGATCTCTTGCTGCAAAGAAGTGGAAATTATTGCAATTATGTAAGGGTTAATAGAATTTTTTCCCTTGCAATGACATTCTAGTTTGTTAGAAGCCTCTTGAACTCATTCATAAATCTTATTAATTTTGCTAATATCTGTGTTCTCAACGTGAGAGTTGACCAAATCGACCAGAATCAAAATGTTCTTCTACGTTATTACTTTCTAATTCCAAGGTTTGAGCAGATATTCGGTGATATATTTTAAACTGGTAATGCCTTCTACCTTGACTACAAGAAGTAATGGAATGTGTGGGCATAATAAGTGGCTTTACCTTGGATGGACATGCAGTCATACCTCAAAGATTTGTCATCTTAGCATCATCATCAATTCGGATACAAATTTCTATTACTAATTGTTCTTTAAACAATAATAACCTACAGTTGTGCCTTGGATTGTGTGAATCTAAATATAAGTTTGAACTTGGTTTTGGAGGTTTAGATGTATATAACAATCTCTTAAGTAGTACTTCAAAACTCACTTCCAACACTGATTATGCCGATTTTTGAACTATGACTAACAAACCATGTTTTAAATGATTGAATTTAAAGAGTAGTTTGAGAGAATGAAATAGTTAGACGAAACATTAAATTTCTTTTGGTTTGATTTGTATATACATACATATATATATATATATATATATATATATATCTATATATATATATATATATATATATCTATATATATATCTATATATATATTGCAAATTTGTAATAGAAGAAATTATTATGCAAAACATTTAAGTTTTCTTGTTTGTTAATTCTAATTTATAGTATTTTAAAATATAAATTTCTACTAAATTCATCTCTAACTTACTATTTAATGTTTTATAGTAAATAAAAAATTTCAAATTATAATATCGTTTATCTATTAATTTACTTGTTTAAATAAAAAATAATTTTTTTATGTGATTTTTAATTTATATTTGTTTATGTATATCTATATGTATTTTTTTAAATTAATCTTTTTTTTTTTGTTATTTCTTAATGTCTATTAATTAAAACCTATTAATCTTAAAAATATTACAATAAAACTAATAAAAAATAATAAAATAAAAACACTTAAAGTTATAATTTGTGAGACATTTAGAATTACATCCCTTTTAGTTGATATGTTACATATTTATATAAGTTTTAAATTATAATTGATTATATAATAAATTTTAAATTAATATTTTTTGTAAGAAAAATAATTCATGTTAGTACTTTATTAAAGTACTAATAAATAGTATTATTTGTTTTTAATTTAATAAAGAGCAATATTTAAATATTATTATAGAAATGATTATTATAACACCAAAGACATGAATTTAAACATATTTATAATTTACATAGTTGAAAAGAAGGTTGCTATATATATCTATATCTATATATATATATATATATATATATACATACATATTATAATATAATAGAATAGCCATAATATCCTAATATTTCTTTTGTAGGATGAGTAGCACCCAAAACATACATGTTATAAGTTACAATGAAGGTTAAAAGTATAGTTAGGTATTGTTGATGTATTGGATATGCTTTTATTTTATATAATTAAATCTTGAATGAACTTGTAATAAGTAAAAGTAAAAATAAATGAATGAATTAATCTCTTAATTTAATGCAATTCGATTGCATATTTGAAATATCAATTAACATGCATGAAGCAAAATTGACTATCTATAGTTTTATTGTATTTATAAACATTCATATTATAATGTGATTTTATTATAAATTTTTGTACATTTTTATTTGTTTAATATTATTTCAAAGTTTTAATTAAGAAATCAAAAAATAAATTATAAAAATATCTTGTAAATATTTTCATAATATAATTTATTCTAAGTTGTTAGGTGTTTCAAAAAAAAATATTTACCTTTCAAATTAATATCAAAAGAATAAAGATTACATTTATACTAATATTTGTTATTTTTATACTTAATTGACTTATAACTAATAAAAATTTGTATAATTTAACATATTATTTTTTAAATTTTTTTTATAATTAATATTTTATATATCTAATATAATAATTTATTTTTTCTATATATATATATAAATATAAATTTCTAAAATTAATCTTATTTTTTATTAGTTAATCTTTAAAATATTCTAATCCACTTCTTTGACTATTTACAACTTGTCATACAATGAATTTATAATAAAAAAATATTTATATTTATTAAAAAAATAAGGATATATTTATATATTAATTATATAATTTTTTTCACATATATTTTTAAAAATTTTAAAAATTAATATTTATAAATCACAAGTATTGATTTTAAGACTTTTTGATAAATTACAAAAAATTGATACTTATATTGTCAAGAACAAGAATTCAAAGAATATAAATAAACGATTGAGACATTTATGAAAGAAAAATGACAATAAAAACAAATAATAAAGTATATACATTAAAGAAGAAATTAAAATGGCTATTATCAAAAACTATAAAAACTAAACACTCTTAAAACTAGATAAGAAATAGAAAGGAATTGACAAGAATGAAGAAGGTCTAACTCTTGCTTCTATATACTATCTAACTAGAAGTTATAAGGCATTTTTCTATAAAACCTCCAATATGCATCTAACTTGCAAGATACATGTCTTATTTGCAAAATAAGTTTTTTACAAGTGCACCACATGGCCTACTTATACTACAAGTAGCCAATATGTGCGATATGTGGCCAACTTGTTGGCCAAGTTTTTAACCTACTACTTACCTACAAATACATATAAAGTCAAACATGCATCTATAACTTTCTAAAAAACTTCTAATTAAGATATTATCAATATTTATCTATTTTTACTTATTTGTACTTAACTCCTCTTATCTAGATAATTTCTAGTATCAATTATGTTTGTGACATTATACTCTTTTTTAAAGACAAGTTCCATGAAAAACAATGATCATATATTGATGAAGTTTAAGATGCAACAAATTGTATTTGCTACATATTCTAAGCTTTGTTTCATTTGAAGATAATTGATAGGTCTTTTCAACCATCAATAGTGTCTTATAATAAGGTGAGAAGACCATTCTATTATTTGATCATTGTTGAGGCCTTCATAACTTCTTTTAAATAAAATATTTGGAATACCATCAAGAATAGATTCTACTTTGAATAATATTACCTAATATCAAGAGTCTCTATCAACATCATGATATCAAACACATTGTATCTTGCTATCTATTCAAGGAAGAACATGTTGTTTTTTAAGGTTTTTATCTTTGTTTTGTTGTCTTAAAGATTGAAACAATGTCAATGCATTGTTTGATAACTTAACAAACAATAGTTCTTGAGTTGAATTTGCTAGTTATTGATTTTTCGTTTCTTTAGTACCACAAATGCAAAAAAAAAAAAAAAAAAAAAAAAAAAACGGAATAAAATAGAGTACGATTTTCATTGAACTTCCTTTGCTTTATAACAAAGTTTTTTTTGATCTTTCATCTTGGTTTTGATAGATGTTAATAAATCAAAAGTATTGATTTTTTTTTGTTGCATTTATAAGATTCTTACATGGCTTCTATGTCAGTTTACTAATATCATATTTGTGCTAATGTATAAGAAATTTCAACCTATTTTAGTACCACCTTAAATTTAAGATCTCTTTTACATCAAATTTACTATTTTTATATATTTTTATAATATAAAGTAATATTTTTTTCTATTATATTAATTATTTTATAACTCAAGAAGAGATACATCAAATATAAGATAGATATTAATAGACTTTGATAGGTATAATTGATATGCAACTAGATTGGTTTTGTCACAAATATGAAATAGTTCAACTTTAAAGTAATCCAACTTGTCATAAGAATAAATATTCTTGATATTACGACAAAGTAATCATATCTTATTACTAATATAGAATTGTGGTTGTTCTTTATAACAAGCACTTGCATTGATCTTTTTATGTTCTTGAGCTTACTTTAATTGTGCCTTTATTGTTGTATATCACTCTAATAAATGATTTGTTAAATCTTCTACTATAATATTATCAATTTTTAAAAAGTAAAAAATATAAAATTATAAATAATAATTATAATTAATATAAAATAGTGATGATTAAATAGAAGAATATATCCTATTATTATAAGAAAACTTTGCCAATGGTAATAGAGTTATCCAATCATTTTATTGGTAGATGATGGTACATCTTAGATATTGCTCCAAAACTTAATTCACCCATTTTATTTGTTGATTATTTTAGAAATAAAAAGCCAAAGATAATTTAATATCTACCTTCAATATCTTAAAAAGAGTTCTTTTAAATCTCATTACATATTCAATCGTTCTATTTGATTTAATATCTCTTAGCAACCTATGATAATAATAAATACTATTTAATTTTTTAGATATTTTTTTATTTTTTATAATTTTTGTATGTGATAAAAAATGTGCCATTTTAGTAAAAAAATTACTATTATAAATATAAAATTATAAAAACTTAAAATTAAAAAACTTATTATAAAATCTATAATAATAAAAAATAATGGTTGTTAATAACAAAGAATTTTTGATCTTAAACAAACATTATATGATTATATAAATCTTTAATTTTTTTTACAATTGAAACTACCAAAAATATTTTGAAATTAAGTCTAAAATGTTATTGTATCTAAAATATCCTGCATCTAAAAAGTTATAACAAGCTTGAAGGATTTATAATTGTACTTCATATTTTGGAACATATAAGCATGTTTTGAAATAAAAAAGATTTTTTTTGTATTCAAAACTACAAGTATAAAAAAATTTGGAAGATTTTTTTTTAATATCATGAATAATAGGATCTTAGGGCATATTTAATTAGATTTGATAAAAAAAAGATTGAACCAATGATCATTGTTGTTTTCATTGCTCAAAAATGAAATTACTCTAGCTTCAAAAGAATAATTTTTTGTTAGTCAAAAGCTAGATTTTTTTATTTTGGTGGAAAATAAGAATGTTTGAAAAGTGTATTTGATAATTTCTATTATTTTTTCTAGTTAATGAGTAATATTGAATACAATTTTTTATAAAAATATGCTCCAAAGGGCTTAACAAAAATTTAAAATACATAATAGCATAAAATATTTGAGGTTCTTGTAATCTACAAAATAACTATTAGATTAAAAGTACTTTTAATTTAATAATTTTATTTTCAAAAGAATATATAATTGCAAAAAAGTCTTTGTTGTAGATCTTGTAATTAATTA